ATTTAATAGGCAATCTAATCCTTACCCATAACATTTGTTTCGGAGCGTAGCTGATAATAAATGGTAGAAGCATGTGGTGTCTGAGTGATTCCTCGATTTCCTCTGCAGATCTAATGGGGCTATAAACGCGGCTATTGGGGTCAACGGTTGGACCCCAAGTCGGCCCAGGAGTTGACATTTTTTGCGCCAAATTCTCTTGAAAATAAGCGATCGTCAAGAGGAGGAACAAAAGAGAATAGCACCATTCCTCAAATGGGTGCTCAAGTCTATCCATTTTGGAACGGCCTATAACTGAAAACAGACAAATTTTGTTATGTTTTTAAATCATTCAAATAATCATGGACACATGATGAATGACAAATAAAAGAGGAGTATACACGCTTAATTTCCCGTTGCATACAAGTAGCTAAGCCAGACATTTTGCTAAATGCCGTGGGAAATGTTCCAATAGCAAAGACCTGCCAAGTATTGCGTGTGAAACAGATGTCTGAATTTTTCCGGACTTAGAAAGTAAACATTGACAAAAAAAATTCGTGGAAAATTAAAACTGTTAAATTGAGAAAATTGATATTTTTATCAATGCTTACTTTCTATCAATTTTCTCAATATAACAGTTTTAATTTTCCACAAATTTTTTTATCAAACTTTTGAATAACTTTTCTTTTATAAAAAATTGAGCAGATTTGGGATACACGTTCTCTCAAGGCTGAAACTTTTAGAAAATATCATGAAATGATCGAACATTACCTTGATAATTTTTAATTGCATATCGATGACTGCAGAAACTGCAGTGATGCCAATCTTGGTTTGCGGTGTTGCAGGCCGCCTGTCATACTGCATTTTCTACATGAAAAAATACTAAACGGGATTTCCTGAAAATGTTTTGTGATTTTGTTTCTCTATGTGAAGTAAAATTTGTGAAAATTTCATGCTATGATGTCGGCTCAGTCTCCTTTTACGAAAAATGAAACAGGAACGGCGATTATGAAATACTGCGGCCAAGATGCGCTTTGTTGCAATTTTACCGCCAATATTCCAGAACGGCGATTTTGAAGTACTCCAGCCAAGATGCGCTTTGTTGCAGTTTCACCTCAGATATTCCGGAAAAAAAATCAGTATCTCAATCTAAAATAAGATAATTGACTTAATACATATAGACCCCTAGTTATTTGGCAAACTGTTTGATTTGACCATTAGCCTACGAAAAGATATGTATCAGTTGTATCACTCACTGTTACTCATTTTTTTAGCTGACACAAATGTTTATCACTTATTTTATCACCCTTTAGGTATCGTTAAAAAGTATCATTGAAACGATGCATTAACATAATGCTAAATTCAAACTGAGGGCAACTGGCGCAGCTCTAACATTACTATAATCATGCAGCTCATTTAGTCGACTAAAATGACTCAATTGTCTCTCCATATTTGAACTATTTGAGTCAATCTGATAATTCTCAAAGGGGCCGTAATCTCTTTTTCTATCGATCATAACAATTAATTTAACTGTCAATTAAAGTAATTGATAATTATGCTCTTGTACTTACACATACATACATAAAGTCGCTTTTATAGCGCCGCCTCGCGCTCTGCGACGCCCAATCGCCATTGCCCCCTATCCTCCCAGAGATCATCAGGCAATTGGCACCTTCTGATCTCCTCCTCCACCCCTTGTCGCCAACCTTTCACAGGACGTCCACGCCGTCGCCTTCCGGGAGGAACCCAATCGAAGACCTGCTTGGGCAACCGGTCGTCTGCCATCCTTCGCACATGTCCATACCAGACCAACTGCTTGGACCTGATATCGTGCACGATGTCCTTCTCTACATCCATGATCTCGCGTACTTTTACATTGCGGATACGCTCTCTTCTTGAGATGCCAGCAGACCTCCGCCAAAAGTCCATCTCAGTTGCCCTAAGCATGTCTTCAGTTCTTCTCTTGAGTTGCCAGACCTCACTCCCGTAAGTTACGATACTCTTCACGATGACGTTGTAAATTTTCCTTTTGGTCTCCTTGGAGATACTCTGGTCCCAGAGAACCCCATTTAGCATCGCGATAGCTTTCCTGCCTTGCACATTCCGATCTTTAATAGCCCGATCCAAATTTCCGTCCTTAGTTAACCAAACTCCTAGATATTTATACTCTTCACAGTCCTGAATTTTCCGACCATCCTCCAGTTCAATGCTTTGCTGATCACCACCGATAAATAACTTCTCCGTCATAACCACATTTACTTCCATTCCCCACTTTCGGTATACTTCCACTAGCTTCCGCGTCATGTAATTCGCATCTTCTTCGTCCTGAGCTATTACCACCTGATCATCAGCAAAGCACAGAGTATAAAGGGTGCCATCTTCACGTAGCGGGACGCCCATTCCCGAACAGCATCTTTTCCATTCCTTTAAAACTTCTTCCAGGTACACTTTAAATAAGGTTGGCGACAAACAACACCCTTGTTTCAGTCCTTTAGTAATTAAAAACCCCAACGATAAGTCCCCATGCGATTTAACTCTAGAAAAAGCCCCACCATAAAATTCCTTAATAGCACTAATTAGTCCCCCACTAAAACCCCTTTTGTTTAAGGCTTCCCAAAGTTTCATCAATGGCACACTGTCGTAAGCTTTCTGGAGATCCACAAACACTAGATGTAATTCCTGCCCAACTCCCTTCTTTTTCTCGATGACGAAAACTTCTTTTGCTCTTGTACTTTTAATCTAAAATTTTCTGAAGTATTCAAGGAGTAATCTTGATTTTTCATACAGTGTTGAAAATCAGCAGTATTTTACTGAATTTTAAAAATAATGTAGATTATATCAGCTACGTAACAACTGTCAACAATGTGTTTTTTTATATTTCATACGTATTTATTGAGGCTTAAATAACAACTTCTAGGACATAAGATCCATTGACAGATAAGTGTTTTTGGCATAGTGGGACAGCCTCATCAGCCTCACTAGCCCAAAATTCCACTGAGTTATGCATACTTTATTGTAGCATTCCGGAGAATTTCGCATGCATAAGATTACAATTTTTATCAATACGTAGTACATCCATTTAAAACTGAACTGATTTTGAACAAGTATGAAAAAACGTTGTAATAATTTTATTTTATAATTTTTTTAGACAAATATCACAAAAAAGTAGAATGCAATCACAAATGGACCGCGTTAAACAGAAAGGAACCAAGCCACATCAGCTATTGCCAAATTTAATTGGGCAATTTAATTTTTTACATGAAAACGGTTGTGTGGATTTTCGTGCAAATTTCAGTGAAAATTCTCCGTGGTGCGAAGCAAATTCCTTAAAATTTTCAAAGAAATCCGAACAACCACCGTTCTCTCGTAAAAAATTTAATTGCCCAGTTAAACTTGGCAATCGCTGATGTGGCTTGGTTCCTTTCTGTTAAACTCGGTCCAAATACACAAACGTTCCTGAGACGTCGAATTTTATGAGCCTCCCCCCCCTTTGTACCCTTTTTTGGACGTAGGTCTCAATAATACGTGATACGTAAAAAAAATTAGCTTTAACGCTCTCCTCAGCCCTCCACCCCTCCTCCCTCTAATGTCCCTTTGCAAGCATTCGATGAGAACGAATGCTCACCTTTAAAAACCTGAGACTTCTCCTAATTTGAAAAACAATTTTATAATTTTTCTATAATACATGGGTGTCATTGTCTTCACGAGGTTCCACCCATTGAACCCGGAAAAAGTTACAGGCTACAGGATTTCCTAGTTTGTACTTCTCAGCGAACTTCTTGTGCGACCACTCTCCTCGAACATCGTCATCGCGACTGGAAAAAATAAAAAAAAAATAAATCTTGAAGCAGTTTTTTTTTTATAAAATTTTTAATAAAAGTTTGCAACAATACGTATAAAACTTCCACAATTACCGGAATAATTTTTTTTGAAGTCATATCTTTTCAATTTTTTTATTTTCGTCAATTTTGTTCATGTCGGCTCATTATAGTTATTTAAGGCAAAATTAAGCAATTGATAATTGTGCGAAGCGATATAAAATTAAATAACTTTTAAACGGTATGACAGCCTACTTATGGAACTATGAACTCATCAAGGTCGAAGACGTTACCTATTTTGTCTTGCTTCAAAATTCTGTCAATTTATCTGGCGAGGGCCGACCCCAAGAACTTTTTACAAATCTGTTAGATTACTTTTGCTGCTGTCATACCAATTTGAAGAGTCTAAAGGGTTAAAATTTAGTATAATAATAGTAATAGTATAGTCATAGTGCACTTTAATTTTGATTTTTAACCGTTTATTCTTCACTGCAAGCAAGAAAAAAGAGACAAGGTTAAGAAGATCAGGCACAGGTCACGGCAGAACTTTACAGGCGGAACTTTACTCCTTTTTAATACTTGTTTTATCATAAAAAATTCTGGTGGCACAGAGTGCTACCATAATTTTTTATGATAAAACGAGTATTACGTTCACATAATTTTGTTGCTAGTGCAAAAATTGGAAGTTCCTTACATGTCATAAATTGGACGTTTTTCCTCCTCAAATTCAATTTTATCTCCATTCGGCTGAAGATATAAGAGCACCACGTAACGGTGAATACCTGTAAAAAGATTACAATTTGTCAGTGCATGTATGCAGGAGGGTAATAACATAGAAATAACGCCATTCAAAGAAGCCATTAATTGTTATTGTAGGATAATTTTTCTGTTAGCGGCGAAAATTAGTTCTTTGGGACAACAATTGCTTGCATTTCAGCCGCTCTTACTATCGAATCGAAATCGACAAAAGGGGCCGTTTGCAAATCGCTCATTTTACCCTAAAATTTGAGCAGAGTGTGATTCACTTTAATAAATGACGCAGAAAAAAATATTCTTACCTGTGCCTTTTGGTGGTTTCGGGGATAAGTAATACGTCAATATGTCACCAAATCTAACACTAAATTCGGGTATATTTCCCACAAGCCAATACTGCCACTCTCGCAATGTATGATTCTCTCTGGTCGGCTCGTCCAAACCTAAGTAATAAGAGGATGCCATCAAAAGATTGAATCAAACATACTTCTCCTCCTATTTTTTTCCTCGTAGGGATCACACCTTACCTCTTTACTGAATCATCTTAGAGGCGTTATGCCTGGTTAGTATAAAAATTAATACTTTCTCACTGGGATTTTGTAAATTTTTTTGAGTGGCTTTTTTTTGATCTTTTTGTTAGACGTTGTAACCGTTAGTGCCGCCTCTGAATATCAAGGACCTTTGCCTCCTTGCCGAAAAATCGTTTATTTGCGTTCATGGTAAGGGCATCCTTTCCTTATATCCTAGGGCTATGCAAGGATTTCGTCATAAATATTTATTCAGTCAGTAACAACGCAAGGGTACCCGCGTTGTTTTGAATTTCGTATTAATTCGTATTTCTTGGGGCAAAATAAATATCCAGTTCTCAACAAGGATTCAATCATGCCTATTATTGAGGTTTACCTGTAATACGTTCGGATCTATTACATTTTCAAAGTCCTGAGACCGTTTTAAAAGACAATGGATATTGGATTAGGTTTTCTCTAAGCCCACGATAGAGGTACATGTATTAAACACCTAACTGTGCTCTAATGAGCTCTTAGTACTGGAAAACTCAAAACAGGGGCTCGTTTTTGGCCGCTTAATTATAACACTAGGCAGGGTTGCCAGTTTTTCACACCATATCTCTATGCGTATGACCCCTTTATCAGCGATCCCTCTCTCATTCTCGTTGATTACTAAGCATCCATGAAGCAACCCTGGACCTGTCCTTCTTCCAGAGGTACGAAATGCGCCAGTTGGCATGACTACTTACTGAAGCGTTTTAAAAAAAAGGCGGAAAAACGTCTACAAATAGTCAAACAAAACTATAGTTGGTGCGTAGTTCAAAATGTCATATTTTTTCTTCTTTTTTTGAAAAAAAAAGCTCTTTAAAGTCTTAATCTGTCATGTTTGACTTTAAAATATTGATGATATACTTCACGCTCTTCATCGCAACAAAAATAAACTAAACATAACTCATATTTCAGGATACTACAGAGTGGTCTTCGTCAAAAGCTCAAATTCCAATTTTTGGGCTTGGCTCACGGCGGAACGAGCTTTCGGGAGAGTTTGAACATGAAGTTTCAGCTAGACAAAAATCACTCTCTTAAAAAGTATGTATTCAATGCACTGAGGTCTTGTTCCTCTCAAATGATAACCACTGATTACTGCTTTGATAACTTGAAACGTGTTCTCATAAAAAGCGTCGATAAAAGAGAGTCAGCATTATTTTGACCTCGAAGATTTGAAACGAAAACATTTCAGCTTCAAAGTCCTCCTCTGTGCTTTGCTTGTAGCCTCCGATCTCTTTTTTTTTTTTTTTTTTTTTTTTTTTTTTTTTTTTTTTTTTTTTTTTTTTTTTTTGTTTTGTTTTGTTTATTTGTCGTTCAACAACGTTACAATAGAATTAAAAGATTTACATCAAAAGAGATAAAAAATTAAAACAGGTAAGAAAGGGGGGTACGAAAGATTGAATTAAATCATTAAATCATTAAATCATTGTTGAGTGACTGCTGGAAACACCATCAGGCATAGCATCAGCATCAAGGGACTTTTTTCTACTTTCTATCACGATCTTCACATAATTACACGTGGCCGTCCAATTGTCTTTTGAGCTTAAGATATTTTCCAGGAAGTTTGAGGTCAGAAAAAGGTCGCCAATCTGGTGTTCCAGACGTGATCGCTCTGGCGTGTAGTAGGAGCAGGCGAAAAGTGCATGTTCGGGAGTGTCCGTGGCCGATGGGCAATGAGGACAGGCATCAGTTTTTGAAATATTCATGCGGTGTAAATAGAAGTTGAAACAGCCATGCCCTGTTAGTAATTGTGTTAGATGGAATGTAGTTTCCCCATGATTTCTTTCAAGCCATCTGTGCGGGTCAGAAATAAGTGTTTTTGTCCAACTGTCTTTATTCGGGTCTTCTTTCCATTTCTGGAGCCATTTTTTCCTGATATCCAAAGTCATCTGTTGACGATCTTCAGATCTCTCCAAACATCTTAGTCTCTCCTCAATCTGAAGGCTAATCGGAGGAATACCCGATATCAAATCCAGAACCGAGTTTGATGTTGTTCTGTAAGCCATACATAATCTAGGTTTAAGAGGTCTGATTATTTTCGTTAAGAGTTTGGTGTTCTTTTTCTTCACTTGAGATGATGCCCAAACGTTGACGGCGTAAAAGACAATAGATAGAATCGCCGATATGATCAGCTTCCTTTTGGCGAAGGTGGGGCCATTTATGTTTGGCATGATACATGAAAATGTTTTGATCACAGAGGCAACTTTCTCGGCGATCTTCTGGAAATGCGTGTTAAAGGACCCATCGCAGTCTAACCACACTCCAAGGTATTTTAAAGCTGGGGATGGCGTAATCGGGTGATCTATCACTTTCACTTTATAATTTCTACCTTTTTTCTTTCTCCGTAGCTTCCGATCTCGTGCCTGAACATTTGTCATCGAGCCAACGCAATTTAAAATCTAGGTTTTAAGGCTGAGCTTGACACAAAATTCAGAAAAATTAAAATCATCCCCCATCTGGAGGATATTTTGTTCTTTTGCCTTCTTCTTTTCCATTTTTAAATTTCGATCACGTTGCTGTTCTTTGAAACATACCTCTCTCGCTTTAAAGGCAGAATAATACGAAGAAATAACCTAGTAATTGCAATCTGGGTAGGTTTCTCAGCCGTTGCTTCGCAAAAAATAATTGTTCGTGATTTAATCTCAAATTGAACTCAGAATAGTAAATATTTCGGCTGGCTTACCAAACATCATTATAGTAAACCGCGTATCCATTTTTGAGTCCCATTTGATCCAGTAAGGTTCCCTTAGGATTTAGGTTCCTCAGCAGTTGCTTCGCAAAAAATAATTGTTCGTGATTTAATCTCAAATTGAACTCAGAATAGTAAATATTTCGGCTGGCTTACCGAACATCATTATAGTAAACCGCGTATCATTTTTTGAGTCCCATTTGATCCAGTAAGGTTCCCTTAGGATTTCCAATGGCTCTATAATGTTCCCAAAAACAGCTTTTGATCCTAGAATCCATTCGAGCTAAAACATCAAAAAATTAAAGGCCTTCAATGAACAATATTTTACATAAAACATGGAGTAAAATGTAATTTAGTAGGGGGGCGTGGAAAATGCATAAGGGGTAGTTGCCGACAGTCGGAATTTTACCGCATTCGAACAACCCCCCTTTTCTTGTTTTAGACACCCATGACACTTCTTGTTTAGTAAAATGGTGAAATTGTAAAACTCTCTCTTCAACCGATAGGGTCTCTTTTAAACTTCCAATAAGTTTAAATTATTTCCATAGAATGTTTTTAGCTACATGCAATCATTCATGCTAAAGTTAAAAAAAAAAAAAATCCCAAGTTCACGTAACGTGAAAGAAAAATTCGGAAACTAATTCTAATCATTTAACTCAAAGCAGAATACAATAGGCGTATTTTTTTACACAACAATCTCAATCAACCGTATCGGATTATATTACATATTTAATTTAGTTTTTTCCCCCTTTTTTTCTTTGGTAGTATTGGACACGAGGAAGACAAATCAAACAGTTATGAAGCAATGAAATATATTTTACACGTCATGCAGCATAGATCTTGGACTTTAAGCCAGTATCTTTCAGGCTCGATGCAGTCTTCGGGGACAAGCTTAATTAAATGCGGGTGCGTACTGCGTACCTTAATTCCCTTCTCAGGTGCGACGTCTAATGCATCTGGTATTATTTCATGCTCCTCCAAAGCGGCCTTTATTTTTTCCGACGAATATTGCAAGGGATTGTCTGTCACAGTCACTTCTTTGCCTCTCACAGAGATTGATGATAAGATAAGAACATGCATAGCTATGTATATCGATATATCGTGGAAACTCTGCCAGGGTTGCTGCAACATGTTGGCAAATACCTGATACTTTTTTTTCTATTTTGCTCCTGAAAATTTTGAAAGGGTATTCTGAATGTTTGTTCATTTAACTAGCCTAAAAATGTCACAATGATGCCAAAGTGTAATGTGCTTCCTTCATTTGAAACAGGCAATTTCTTCCAGAGGGTGGCGTCAGCGTTGATATATTATAAATGATATGTAGGAGAAAACTTAATGTAGGAAGCTGGTCAATACTTAGAGACGTATTGATAACATAGTGAGGGCTAAAATCGGATGGAACGTAAATGCACTGCAATGTTTCAGATTCTCCGACTACGTTTTATTTGTCTAAGTTTTATGTTTGTATGAATAAGCCGCTTTTACGGCGCGCTAGGGCGCTCTGCGACGCCTACTCTACACAGGAATCTGTCATGGTAGAGATCCTCCGGAAGCTGGCATCTCTCAACCTCTTCACGGATGCCCTCTACCCACCGTATAGTTTTAACCAACCAAAATCTCCTCTTGGATTTTTCTGCGAATATCTTTGAAGGAGTGAAGAAAATTCACAGAAAATTTCAAGAAAAACTGACGATTAATTCTTTTTCAAAATATTGAAACCTGAGCAGAAATCTACAAGGTGCAATTAGAGATACGGTATCTTCGACTTAAGCACCACGATGTTTCACCATGTGGATTCAGACGTATAATTTACTTTGTTTGACGCCTTACCTGTCAATTCATGGGCCACCAAAATGAGTTAATTGTTCCTGGGCACAGACACATCAAGAGTATATGTCGACGGTGAAACTACCAAACCACGTATCTCGTTTGCGGTGTTTAAAAATCTACGCTCACATTTTATTTTTTTGAAGTAGACCAAATCAATATCATTCCTTGAAATTTTCACGGAATTTTTTCCGCACAAAGAGGAAAAATCACAGAAATTTTCAAGACTGGATGTTAAGTAGTTTTTCATTTAAAAAATAAAGTATGACAGGAAGTGTACGACGTCGCAAATCGAGATACGTGGTTTGGTAGTTTCACCGTCGATGTTTGCATTAATAGAAAAAAAGCGAATTTTATTTAAAGTGCCGAGCCTCCTCGGAATTATGCCCGGTTTCTGTGTCATCAATCATCAACATAAATGGACTACGCTGCAGCCTACGGATTCGACCAATCACATCAATCGGTTTTTGTTGGATTGAACCATTTTTAGAACCACCTCGGGGGGGGGGTTACCGAAATGACGTACCAACATTGCGTTGTCGCACCGGATCGGAATTCCCGAACTTAAATAAAACGGCAGCTGCAAGGTTCCGGTTCTAAAGTAGTTCCGATCCACAAAATGAAATTCGCCTCAAGAGGTCACTTGTTACTTGTTACTTGTTGCCTTCACCCACATCTACATTCATCAGAGAAAAGTCACATACTGATAACGGTCAATCATTCGTTTTGTTTATTTCATTTGTCGGTGCTGTTAAACCCATTTGGTGAATGGCCTCATATCATATGAATTATCATTACATGAAGGGTCAGGGTTCTTCAAGGCTGTGTAAAAGTATCACCTCTACTAATTTTTATGTTTCAAAAATAGGGAAAGGGGGGGGGGCGCATCTCATCTGAGGAATGCGTTATTAATGTGAGCAGGTTATCAGTAATTCCGTTGAAGTTGCAATAGGAAAGAAGGCAATTGAATCAGTGGGAACGAAAATACAACAACGCGGTAACTCCAAAATGCTCAATTTTCATGAAGGTCATTGAAGTTAGCTCATCTATTCCAACTTGGACCTTTGAAGTGCCCTCACGTACTCGCCTTTCGGCATCAAAGATCTTTTTCTTATAACTTCTTCACCTGCTCTCTAGTTTTGTGTGTGCCTCGATTGTCTTCATTTTTTCAAGTTGGTGTGCTTTCATTCTCACTGATTCAATTAATCAACCCTCTGCTGATTTTAAGGACTGTGAAAAATCAAGACTTATGTTTTAATGACTTATAGTTTCTGGGAACATGGAGCACGATTTCGTTAAACTTATGCAAAGCAATACATTCATTTTAGAAGTATTATTAATTTTAATTAAGTGTCTGAATAGTGTAAAAGGTATGATCAGAGGGACGGATTATGGTGTTGTCACTCCGTTTAATCCAAACTTTGAGCTAAAACGGACTCCAGAGGAAATAAAACAAGCCTTGACACGACACAAGATTATTCCTGATTTGTTAGACAAGGCACCCAACGAAACAATTTATGTGAGTAATCTTACACATTTAATTAAATGTTACTGCTTCACCATATTTACGAAAGAAGTTGCTAATTGAGTCCTGATTTTTTGTCTTGATGAGGCGATCCTTTTTCTACACTACTCCTCAATCAACCAGATACATACATACTAGTCGCGTTTACAGAGCACCCGGGTGCTCTGCGACACCTCTAATCGCTAATCTAGTCTATCGACTCAGAGGTCATCTAGTAAATTGCATCAATCAGATCCTTGTTAAAATAATACCATGCCTCTACAGAGGTTTCATCAAGTCGGCATTCAAAATTCGGGAACTTGAAATGATATAGTTGAGGTCATGATGCTGTACGAGTGAACACCATATTTAGCCCTGCAAAATTAATCCAGAATATTCATAAAACGTCTCCTAATTCCTTAGTATTTCCTTACTTACTTGCCTAGGTGGTTTGGTAGTTATACCTACAAAAGCAGTTAGTACTTACAAAATTGGCATGCATGTGGAGTGTGGGGGCTCCTTTAAAGATTCAATATGGCTAATCATTTGTCGGTTTCACTTTTATTTTGAAAACGTTCAACGCCAAGGTAGAATGGATCGGTGGTCCTTGCGCTAAACTCGGAAACGAAATAACTGAAATCCACGAACTAGAACCTCCACCACTTTGGGTCAATTACAAGAACTCTCTCCAGCAGATGCATACGACGATGATGATAGGTAACTAAACTGCATTTCCTTTCTAATCTTCATTCAGTCATTCTCCAATGACTTCAGTAGAAAATCCATTCAACCGTTTCATCAATAAATTAATTTGTTTTCTATTCTAGTTAGCATGTATTGAAGTGATTCAAAAAATATTTCCATCATTTTAAAAGTAGGGTAGTAGATAACACTGTGTCACAATTAGGATAGCCCTTTCATTAGCACGGAGGAGAGATTTTTATAATAAAAAACTTAAACCCATTATTAGAAGCCATCAGGCGCATACCCATGTCTCTATCGAAAAATGAAGTAAGAGCGGAAAAGAAGAGCGCAATTGTGATGCTGTTTTTTTTTTAAATGTCGCCATCGATAAGTGATTGAAAATTAATCGAGATAAGTGTTTGGGAATTTTACCAGATGAGTGGAGGCTTTCCTAAAAAAATCGACATCACTGAAAGAAATCTACCATTCAATGACAGTAGAATTGTTTTTTGTTGACATCTGATATTTTTTTGACCACGTCAAAGTACACTGTCTTTGCAAACGTGCTCTAATCGTAATATTTAAAATACTAACTCAATGGTTTAAGAGTTGATTAGTTGTCCCATTTTTTCCTTAGGTCTAGATGAACCGTCCGCGCAAAATCGCTCCTCTAGTTTGTTCTTGTATTGGCTTGTCAGCAACATTCCGCCACATAATTATTACAATGTGCCATGGAACCGATTATGTCAGGGGAGAAACGATAGTTGAGTACAGGGAACCAATACCTTTGCAAGGAACAGGTGTGTAATTTTTTCCTTCACACAGGGGGGCCTCCTGTCATACCTGATTGTTTCATTGGAATAATACTCAACTTCCGTGATTATTTCTTTCTGTGCATTGGTTGGTCGGTGGACTGTACTATGGTACATCCGAGTGATTTCAAGAAACGAGTCCTACTGGCACGCTTAAAATATTCATTCCATGGTCAGGATTTCTGCAATATGCCCACCGTATAGACGTACATTCTCGACAATAAAAGTATATTTTTAAAGACTCTGGGGTAGGTAACTTAACTATGGGTTCGAAGCCATAATGTGTTCTTCAAAAATCATTAGAGTAAACTTCAAATCGACAACTCTCAAACCACATATCTCGGTTTGCAACGTTGCAGATTCTCCGTCATATTTCCTTTCTTCAATGGATTATTATTGGGCTTAGGGCTTCATCGGTACGTGTTTCTTGCGTTTCCACAAGGCAACCGGACGATCAATGTCACCATGCCAAAACTGGAGTACTGGTAATTCGTATTTTCTATCCGAATCTGTATTTAAGGATACCTAGTATCATTATATCAAGGAGCGACCGCTTCTCTCTGGAATTTTCTCGATCCAATTCCAAGCGATTGCTTAAATTTTTGGCTTAATTGTTGATTGTCAGCCTCCTATGGTGTAGTGGTTGTAGCGCTAGGTCTATGATCGGGAGGTCCCGGGTTCGATTCACGGCCAGGCGACCCGAGTTTGATGGTCTCAAACAATGGTTGGTGACAAACTAATGACTGGTTGTTAGGTGCGGAGGGGGGACGGGACTGAAGCGCAGGATTAGCCTTGGTGGGCTACTTGAAGTAGTTGGGAAAAAAAAAAAAAAAAAATGAATCAATGGTAATAAACGCAGCAAGGACATCCGCTCCATCGTGGGGGAGTATTTAGATCGCATTTTTTCGGGCAGTTAGCATTGTACATGATACTTTGCGCGTGATATGTGAGTTTATGCAGATTTCTTTTTCCGTCATGGTTAATTAATTGCTAAAATCTAAATAGTCTGAGGACAGTTTCATTGACAAGCCGAGCCTTGCAACGCACAAGGCACATTATTGGCACCATCGTATGAAAGAAAGAATGCGGACTAACAGGAAATAATATTTTTCATAGGAAAGCACCTCATATGCACAACAAATTTTGAAAGCTACGAAATTACTGAGTTAAAGTAAAAGCAATTGTTTTAAAAGTACACAGTGCCAAAAGAGAACAACGGAAATTCTTAAAAATTGAGGAGCTGTTTTTTTCTTTTTTTTCTAATTTCTCCAGTATTTGTATCTAATTTTGATGAGCAATTTCCAATGTCTAGGTAAATTCCGAGGGGCAACTCCTTTGACCCCTAGATGCCCAAGACTTTTTTCATTCGAAAATTCTCGAGTCAGCTCAATTTAAACACATTGATTTTATTTGCTTTTACACTATTATTTATGTTATTTCTATGTTCTTCCAAGTAAGAAATATTTTATTTGAAATGTTCACATTTTTGGTGACATACTGACGCTTTTTCATCCTTCTTCACATCAGCCATATGTAACACCCCCCCCCCCCCNCTCCGTCAGTTTAATCCAAATTCAAATTTCTAAGATTTGTCATCAAAAGAAAATTTCCTGACACAATACAACTCTTACCAAAATACCAATTTTATGTCCTACGGCTGACGGCTGTGTTGCTCGCGATGTTAAAAATCGAGGAGTGAAATTCGGTGCTGGAGTCCATATAGCGCCCAAAAATCGCCCAAAATAACATGAATGCGAAGCGAAATTAACACCAAAAAAGCGTATGATCTTCCGCAGAAATTTAGATTCCGCTCCGTAATAGCGTAAGTCATTTCGTAAGGAAAATAGATTCCGCTCCGCATTCATATCATTCGGGGTTTTTGGGCGCTTTACTTACTCCGGCGCAGAATTTCACTCTAAAATTTGTAACAGTGCCGTAGCCCCTAAAGCACCACTACAGATATGTAAGAGAAACGGAGGCAACACAACATGGAAATAGAGCACGCGAGAAGACGCGCGTTGGTGACGGCGCAGAGATACAACTATTCGTGCCTGATGAATGTCTGTGTTGCATCTGCAAAATTGAAGGCGCGATGGCACGAGGTGTGAACTCTCTGCGTCCACTGCGCTGTATGTTACCGATGGAGTGTCGCTCAAGTTAGGAGGAAAATTTAAAAAATGAGGTCTGATTACGTCTCTCCTATTTTCGGCTGTGTTGACACGGGAATTTTTCTTTTTTTCAAATCGATGTCTGTGATTTTTTCTCGTATTTGTGGATCTATATCTAAATTTCGAATGTACCGGCAAGTTTTATCGATACATCAACAAGTTTTATCGATACATTAACAAGTTTTCTCTTTTAAAAGTAATTATTCATGACTGAAAACGTACAATGGCCTTAGTGCTGGTCGATACTTTTTACGATTGCTTCCTTTGTTTCCAGTAATGTAACACAACGATTACACTTCGATCTGAGACGCTTTGGGAAAAAGTATAATCTTGGCGAGCCGAATGCTGCTAATTTTTTTGTGGCTCAGTGGCATAGAGGTAATTCTCTCCTATCGTTAATTTTTGGATGAACTTATTTCATAGAATGAACTCTTGAATTGCATGATTTTTTTAATCTAATAGTATAGTTGCATTCGAAATACCAACTGGTCTGATTTTACTCGTATTTAAAATACATATAACATGCACCATGTTTTAAAGGACAAACGGTGTTTAAACATGTTTCGCTGTTTAAAAGTAATTATTCATGAATGTAAATGTGCATTGTCATTAGTGCTAGTTGATACTTTTTACGATTGTTTCCTTTTGATTCCAGTAACGTCACACAACGAATCCATTTCAACCTGATACACTTTTGGAAAACGGTATACTCTGCTAATGCTGCTCGAATGCTGCTAATTTTTTGGGGGCTCAAAGGCATAGGCTTTTGCCCTTGTAGTCTGCTGATGCTTTAAACTCAGAAAAACCAATCACTATTATTTAGAACATTTTTCGAAAGTATCATTGCGTGATCAGTGAGAGGGTTGATACAAAAATGTCCGATAATTCTGTGGTTACGCTAACTTTTCCACGTAAAACTATAACGTTCTCGAGTACTATGTGAAATGCACAGGTCAAAAGCGAAGTTTAAATATTACACTCCGGAAATATTGCATTGATTATTATGAGCAATCCGTTTCTTAGAGTTAATATATTGTTTCGTAAAGAAAAATACTTCTCGCGGCATGACAGCACTTAATTGTACCAAAGAAAATAGTACCAGTATGTAATTGTGAAAATAAAAATTTATTTTTTGTAATATAATTTTTTTTTGTTAGAGGTGAATTTACTAATGACATTTGAAGTATTCTTCATGACAGTAACAAATTGCCTTACCTTTTTACGGATATCCCTGGAAATCATTTTCTTTTCTTTTTACGAAATACACAGATATGTTTTTAAAATAATATAAATACACATATCGTGAAAATTTTGTGTGTTTCTTACACATTATTTACCTTTCATTTTTTAAGTTCTCGAACTTTTTATTACCCGCAATATCTCCGGCAGTTATATTGCCGTTGGCTCAGAGATAGAGCTTAACTCGGATCATATCCCCATTAGACTTGCCTTACATCATAATGTAATCCTTGAGAAGCGTAGTCAAGTAAGGTACCAATAACAAAACTAACTTGGATTTTAGGGAATTTAGTCAGTGGGAAACTCTCTCTTAGCCTAATTGACACTATAGAAAAACTCGAAAGGGGAGCTGGAGATATTGCAGAAATAATCGTTTCAGCCACCTCAGATGCGTCCCCGACGATAAAATACACAAACAGTGGCCAAAATCTGCCTCCTGAACTCTGTGATCTTATTAAGGAAAGACGTAGACTAAGAGCTAAATGGCAAAAATCTAGACACTATCTCGATAGAATTTACTTCAACAAAGTCAATAGAATCACAACAAATCGCATTTCTGAATTCAGACAGCAGTGAACTTATAATTTTTAGAAGGCCTCATCCACACCCCCACTCCAGACTACTCTTTGTGGAAAGCAACAAAATACCTAAAAATAAAACAGATTCCTTTTCTGAACCCCTTAGATCCACCCTTGTTCCTGGGGGCTGGATTAGAACCCACCAGGAAAAAAAGTATTTCCGTATCTTGTGTGTCTAATTTCTATTTATGTTTGAAAATGGATTTCAAATGTGATATTGTGGAATATTCTTACAAATATTAAATTAGTTCATTGATTTACACTTTAAATTAAAGGAAAAGTAACTAAATAGTGATTACTGTCTTGAAACGTACATGTAATGCATATAAAGTGAATGCATTTTCTGTCGTGTCCTGTACGATAATGAGAGGAATGAATGATAGTAAAAACGCAAACTAAAAATTACAGAGTCAGTTTTGTTGGTGCGGGCCAATTAGTTTCACAGATGAGGAAATTAGCTGCGATAGGATCTCCAATACTGTACTTGTCGGCAAATTTTCTAGTGTCAAATCTTGGTCGAATAGGGCTAAGAAAACGAACAAGCAAAATAAAAATATCAAATCAAATTGCAACCCCAATTTGTTTGTTCAAGCTTAATTTATCAACGAGACAAACATTAATAATTATTCATAAATACAAGTCGTAAAATTTGATCAGCTACCACAAGCTAAACTGTTAGGTCAGCAATAAATTTATATGACCCTTTAAAGCATTACTCTATTTGGGTGAAGAATCGCAAAAATGCTGCTGAGGCAATGTATTGATAGTTTATCATTTACATTAATGTTGGGCAGAAAATTCCTAAATTTGAATGAAAAGAAACTCAATTGTGGCATTCTTACCTTTCTGCAAGAATTTTTTCGGAGAAATCTATTGTATTTTGCCAGGGCTGTTCGTAGACCATGAACACCATTCTATGCGGACCTGCGATTATAATAAGGTACATAACATGTAAAAATGTTGAAAAATCACTGAAAACAGTTCGGAAAAACCGAACTGTTCAGCCCACACGAAACCTAATTTTGTTTGACACGAACAACCGAATACTCTGGTTTGCCCATGCAGTTAAACTGTTTCCACGGAATCGGATTTCAGAAACTGGTTTTCTTTGCCGAGTAGTTTGGTTAGAAACAAAGGAGGGATTGATAAAGGCAGATCGTGACTTTTGATGAGGTACCACGAGTTAAACTGGTAGGTTAGTAATACAATTGTACAGCCATTTTGAGCATACCTTTAAATACATATATTCAACAAACAAAACTAAGCTCCATATCACCCGAAACATTTCTCTTTTACCCGACTCTTTTTTTCAGGGAGGACTTGCAAGTTTTTGTACCGGGGAGTACAAACTGAGTTGTAACTTCAAACAAGCCAGGCACTCGGTAAGAGTTCATGTGACAGTATGTTTAAAGCTGAGTCCTACTGCTTGAAGTTCAATATAGCTGAAGTTACTGTCAGTCATGGATACATTAAATGTCGGAATGGATCAACATTTTAGACGATCTGCGCATCCATTTTTACACCTAATAATTTGACCATAGTACATGGTTATTATTTCGGCGTAACAATCTCCAAAGTTTTATCTCGCCTTTAGTTGGCTGATAAATTTTTTGGTATTTTGGAACGAAAGGTAACAACGCACCTTCTACACTCTTAAGTATATTTTTCACGAACACGGGCACTTTCTTGCAATGCATCAAAATAGCAAGCGTGGACCGGTATCACGACGTTAACGCTGAGGCAATGTTTGACTCAAATCTAAGGATACTAGATATCTTCAGTGCTGTTCATTACATTGTTTAATAATATTCAATGTAAATAAATTCGCGAAAAGTGACCAAGCTGGAATGATTCTCAAGAAATTTGCATTAATCCTTAGAAAGCTCTCTCCTAATATACTCCTTTTATTCTTCACACCTGCTCTTTTGGCGGCACGAAAATGATTCTCAGCAAAATTCAATACTCATTTTACCCGTGAAAATTAAAATTAGACATCGCTTCGCTTTATGTGATCTTTTTAACTGAAATGAAAAAGAAAGAAAAAAACCAATACATTTGTCCTCCCTTTTTTCTTTTAGGAAAAAATTAGTTAAATAAAGATGAGTGGGATTTTTCGCTGGCTAGAACGAGAATTCTCAATGTCAGAGCACACAGTTTAAGATCGTCTATTGTTTGAATTTGTCTCCAGGCTCACAATATCTTTGTTTTTTGCTTATTTTTCCTAATCTGCTTATTTCTCCGCTTCTGTCCTTTTGTCTCTCTCTTTCGTTTCCAATTCCATCTTACAGACCTCCGAGCAATTTTTCGCAAGTATAGGAACTTGAGAATTTGAAGAGCAAACCTTGAGAACTGCGGACTGATCGTTGAAATTGGTAGTCAAAGCGATGACCAAATAAGACAAAAAGGATATGGTGGGATCCTACTGGCGGAAACGGGTGGTTGCAATAGACAATGGAGATAGTAACTAACGGCAACCCACGAGAAACCCTTTTGTCAGTCAATCATTTACTCCCTTAGTCTATAAAAACCACCCATTCTAACCAATAGGATCGCTCCATACTCCTTATGTCCTCTTTGTCTAAAGCTTTGTTTATCGATTTCAACGATCAGCCCTCAGTTGCCCTGAGACACAAACCTACCGTTTTCAAAAGAAAATCCCACTCCTTGATAAGGAACTATTGTTTCGCCAGCAGTGATATTATTTGCAGGTATATTGCCTACTATCCAGTGCTTCCATTCTCTATCTGTGTGATTTTTCTGAGCTGGAGCATCAAGACCTGAAAAGTTACGTAATTTATAATTATTTGTTTCAAAAGTTAGCCATGATGGCAAGAGGTGGATATGCTTCAAAATGGGAATATAATGAGGAAGGGGGGGGAGAGGGAAAAAACTGTAACGAACCGGTGATGCTTGACGTTAAGCGACGTGTAAGCTATTGGCACATCTTTGCTTTTGATGATGCAATGTTCGAAGTATTCATCATATTTTGCAGGCGCTCCAAACGGTATATGCTAAGAATTAACCTCGTTGGTCTAGCAATGTGCCGTGCTAAGGAAGAACGCCGTATGAACATTCGAGAGTTGCCAAGTTTTTTTTGTTGAAATGCTTATTTCTGAGAAAAGTTATGAATATTTTTCCTTGAAATTTTCAGGAACTTTAGGCGAAATTGCGAACAAAATTATCTGGAAAAACTGGAAAAGAAATATTCATAAGTTTACCAGGAAATTAGTGTGTTATCAAAGGAAATTTGGCAACGCCTGAAGGTTCATACGACGTTGTTCCTTAGCACGGCAGAATGAGTGGTGCATCATTGCGTTCGATGATGCAATGTTTGAAGTATTTATACGATGTTGCAGGCGCTTCAAGCGATCCACGATGACTTAATCATTCGTTGGTGTTTTGCGTGGCTGCTCAAAATCACGGTATCCGCAGTTCTGTAGGACCCTGAACTCCCTTAGGAGCCAATTTAAAAGTCCATGAGTGACTAGTGCTGCAACCTTGCCTCGGGTCCTCGCAACTTGAAAAAAAATTGCTATTATCAGATGGTGGACTTCACAAAAAATCCGTAGGATCACAAATATCTACTATGATTCGGATTTCACCTTACCTGTCGGGGTATGGGATCTTCGCAACAGCAAAGTGTCTCTAAAACGACAATAATGTGCTTATCTTTTAAGAATTCAGCCGCTTCACGCACTGGAAAAAAAACCACATTGGATCTAGAGTCCAGACTTTTGAAAACTTTCACAAGAAAAAGGACTCAGATTCAATCAGATTCAAGNGAATAAATAAGGACTCCCAACTCCCTATGCTACCCTGTGTTAAAAACCGTTAACGCGCGCTCGCAGCGAACCTGGCAGAGGGTGCGGTGAACTAACGCCGCAGCGGTCCACGATCGATCGTACCTCTATAGTATGTTATTCCATGCAATGTTCTTTGTTTATCTATGATTTATTTATTTGGGTAGATACTTTAATACATTTTACTTTCGCAAACTAATGAAATTGTATAGATACATACCTTCGGCAGAGGTCAATGCGAAAGACTTTGATTTGAAGTATCTCATCAAAACACGAGCAAAGATGATTCAGTCAACTTCTGACGCAGAATCAAAGAGACTTGCTAATAATCAAATTAAAGGTAATGCTTGAAGTCAAGTATCTTTGATTTTGTGACACTCAGTTGATTTTTATCAGTACAACACTATTTCTCACTAAAAAGATTTCACTTTACAGAGCGGCGCCTTCGGCTAAAAGTACAATCCTGATTCCTGCTGCACACTACATACACACTTCCTTTGGCTTTCTCAACAGCAGTTGCTGCTGAGTAAAACGGTTAGAAATAACACTTCACATTACTACCAGTTTATGTACACGAAGACTGACGAAGATTGAAATGAAAATGGGAAACTTTTCACACTAAACTCTTCAAAACTGCAGGGCGACCACGAGGATACGAGGATCTAGAAACTTCTATGAGCACTACTGAGTGATAAGCCTAAATAGGTGGTGCATGGAAATATAAACAGGAAGACCCAATCATCGGTTTAGTTCACTACACCCTCTGCCAGGGAGCGCTGATGTCAGCGCTAACCGGAGTTGGGGGTCCTTATTTATTCTCTTGGTCCATGCCTGAACTCCCTTAGGAGCCAATTTAAAAGTCCATGAGTGACTAGTGCTGCAACCTTGCCTCGGGTCCTCGCAACTTGAAAAAAAAATTGCTATTATCAGATGGTGGACTTCACAAAAAATCCGTAGGATCACAAATATCTACTATGATTCGGATTTCACCTTACCTGTCGGGGTATGGGATCTTCGCAACAGCAAAGTGTCTCTAAAACGACAATAATGTGCTTATCTTTTAAGAATTCAGCCGCTTCACGCACTGGAAAAAAAACCACATTGGATCTAGAGTCCAGACTTTTGAAAACTTTCACAAGAAAAAGGACTCAGATTCAATCAGATTCAAGCTTAAATCAAGAACCAAGCCTCTTAATTTGAGCGGATTCCCTTTTGATTTAAGCTTAAATCTGATTGAATCAAGAGTCCTTTTTCTTGTCAATGTTTTCAAAAGTCTGGACTCTAGGTCCAATGTGTTTTTTTTCCCAGTGCGGGTTATTTTTATCGGCTTAGCCTCACTTTCGGAGAGGGCGATGGATAGGTCGTGATTTGGGGGAAGGATCCTCTGATTTCACGAGGATCCTATACGCGAGGTTTCGTTGCGATCAGGTGCTTACAACTGTGTGGCGTCTTATAGAATACGTCCCTGTCTGGACTGTGTCGAAAATTGGACGGGAAGGTCCTGGACTTCATCTAAGCACCAAGATAGATGGTGTCAAAACGTCTACCGATTGACAGTAAGATTTGTTTACAAGATATTCGTCAACATTAAACGACAGTTGAAATTTTTTCATGTCTCATGATTGAAAGATGGAACAATGAATATAAGGTTAATGACTCTTTACCGGGATAATGCAATTTTTGGTGATATTTTATTTAATTAGATGTAAGTTAAATTTAATTTTGAGGGGTCAAATTCAAACTTTCTGATAGAACCCTACTTAAGTTTTGAATTTTAATTTAATGTAAAGAATATAAATACGCGTACCTACTACGATCAAAGTGTGGAAAGCGTCCTCACGACAGGTCCAATGCAAGGATGTGGGCTCATTTTCCAATTCCTCAGGAGTAAATTTATTTCCAAATGAGACTGATTTGTTCCCATAATTCAACTAAAAACAACTGAAAATGGTTTAAACTTTGTATCAAGACCCAATGAGTGATAAGATTTACTAATGTCCGTCCAACATTGAAAAAAGAAGTTTCTCATGATGGTTTTAAGACTTTCAATTATTAATTCACCTTAAAAAACGAAAACAAAAGGTTGTCCTACTGAACACTTTATTTGATAACTTAGTTTATCACGTGAAGTTTGCATACAGTTTTCATTTTTGTAAATTTGAGAAACAAATAGAAGTCTTAACGAACATACTCTAAAAATTTAATTTTCATATTATGGATGAGAATTTGCAAAACACATCCTACACTCTTTGGCGTTGCTCAGCTAATTTTATAACGCCCAAATTTGGAGTTATGACACAGTTTTCAGAAAGATTTCGGCTTTTCATCAGTTTACAGTCATAGCGCATTTGACGAGAGGATTTCAATTTCATTTTCATCTAAAACCTTTTCGATCCACTGAAGTAATGGTTTTAGCTCTTTACTCATGGTGCGTATACGTAACCAACATTTTGCGTAAATATGGGAAATAGAACACAAAATTACTTAAGCATGCAGACAATGTTTTTTGGTTAAATTTTATCTTTGGCTGCACTGACCAAATCTTTGGGTTGCATTGACCAATTCTTTGGCTTGAAAAATGCAATATTTTTAAAAATCAGGCGTGAGCCGTCAGACTCGAACCTGTTCCACATTGGTGATTGCCCAATGGGCTAGTCACCACCGCCAAGTTGCAACCTTTGAATGATATCGAAGAAAATAAGAGCACATTATTTCAGCATACACTTTCATCATTCTTAAGTCTCAGAGTAACCTGCGATTTCGGTCATTTCAATCAAAAATATGGTCGAATCAACCGAGTTCTATCGGTGGCTCTGACCGAAAAAAAGTAACTTAAAGTATAACCCAAAGTAACATGAACACGGACGTTTTTAACTGAGAGACTTCTTTTGTTGGTTAACAACTCTCAGCAACGGCACTAAAATTGTCTACTTACGCTACCTGCGGTAGAAGCCGAATCAAATTTTGAATGGCATATATGTAAATTCTGGTAACATGCACTATCAGTCCAGCCACTTCATCCGGAGTAACCCCCTTAAACACTCAAGCATGATTAAAAGTACACTCTTGTTGACTCGCAATGTTTGGCCATACGCCAATCATGAACTTAATAATTAGGAAATTTGACACAACCTAAGACCAGTTGAAAAATATTCTTACATCAAGTACATATTCCGGGCCAATTTTGAGCAGATCTGGAATAATGAGATGCTCTCGGAGTGAATTCTGAAGGTTCGGGTGAGGTGTGTAAACCAAGAGAGCATCATCCTCAGTCGTTGCGTGCCCCGTCAGTAGGTATAAAATGCGGGTGCTAGGTCCAAATAGACCTGAGGATTACTTCTAAATACACTAGACTCTCAGTCTATTTGATACCTAGCACCCGCATTTTATACTTTTTTTTATTCAGAAAGCAATACAAAAAAAAACATACAATTTCAATGAACAGTGTCAGTTGAGACCAAACAACAAGGATTGTTACAATCTCTTACAATATAAAACGTCCTGGTAAACGCGCAATAGCGGCAACCATTAGGCTCTCTATAATAAAAATAAAGTAAAAGTACAACTAAAACTATGAATAACATAATGATTACATAAGAAATAATAATAATAAAAGTTTCCAAAACTGAATTAGTCTCTGGAGGGCAGAGAGATTCAGCATCTCGTAACAGCAACTTGAAGTACTCGATACTGCTATTCATTTTTCCCTCGAAAACGCAATTAGTTTTTATAGTTGAAGAAAGTGAACACATATCCACCGACATATTTTCAATACGAACACTCTCCTCCCACAAACTAACTTTCTGCGTAGAAAGACATCCGTTCAGCCAACGAACAACATCATTTTTGTAGTAAATGTAGTGATCCGAAGAAGTATTGAAATAATCTTTAAGTTTTCCATCACAACACAGGACGAAAAAAATAAGACAGAACACTTTCATTTTTCAACGTCGGCTGCGTCAATCCACTGATTATATTTATCGGCGAACCCCAACCACTTGACGAAAACTTGATCTCCTTTTTTTCGTATAATTTTTTCCACGAGATAGGTATCCCTGTACTTTGTCTTCTGAAGTTCCTCCTCGTAGAAACCGCCTTGAATGAGCTCTCCGTTCAAATCCCGCAGCTTATATGTAGTCGGTCGAGTCTTCTTCACTTCGTCCACAATGAAAACTTCTGTAGTCCAATTAGGCGTGTATCCCTTCTCGAATAAATGTTTATACTTACTTATCCGCACTGGCTGCCCGACTTTAAATTTTATCCTTCTCTTCGGAGGAAGACTTATTTTTTGCAATTTCTGCAATCTACCAAGAACTTTCTTCTCGTTCTTTTTACCGACCTTGATAGGAGCGAGCCCGATAGTTCGATGCACGCGATTATTATACCTATTTATAAGAGAATCGATGATATCAATCCACTCATAATTTCCTCGAAGACTGAATTCTTTCCACATCCAAGTCTTGATTGTACGATTGAACCTCTCAACGATGGATGCCTTCAGTGTCGAAAATGAAGAATATAATTGAACACCGAAATCCTTCAGCACTCTAGATACAGATGAGTTAACAAATTCTGAACCTCTGTCCACTTGTAAATATTTTGGAACAACGTCCAATTTTTCAAGAAAATCTTTCAACACAGCTGACAGCTCACTAGCCGTTTTTGACTTCAAAGGAATACTGTACCCCCTCTTAGAAAAACAATTGATAATCATGAGTAAATACTTGTAGCCGGAATTCTCTGTCGCGTACGGTATCATCTCAACCAAATCCGCTTGGTACAAATCATTGAGTCCTTTAAGTGTAACAAATCTTCTTTGATAATTTTTTCGTGCAGGTTTATGGAGTTCATTCACAATACCGACTTTTGATGCCATAACTAATAACTTCTTCCGCCCTCAGTTTTATTTCGACTGACGTTATTATCTCCAATTGCAATATTTATTCCGCAAGACACCCATCAATACGGTATACTAGCAATTTTTTCTTCCAGCGACTTCAATCTCTTCTCCAGAGGCTCCAGTTTTTTAACAACTAGTTGATTCATTTTATTTTCTTCCGTCTTTAATTTATCCTTTAACAAAGGATCTAATTTATCCGATTTGAAACGTGCAATTTTCTTATCGATTTCTGGAGTTAGAGTATCAATAGTGTACATTTGCAAGAGACCCTTCACTTTCGCGTCCACAGAGGCCTCTCTAATCCAATTTATACCGATAGTTTGGATCTCTAAAATATCTTTATTTATTTTATTTAAAGCCGCGCTTTCTTGAATTTGTTTATTGATCAAGGAAACCAAATTACTATCCTCATATTCTTGTAATTTTTTTGGTAACCAATCGAATACAGCCGAACGATTAGTCTCTATCAAACGTTTCAATTCATTTATTTGACCCACCGTTACTGCAGCTTTCACGTCATCATTATCCGACAGGTTCTTCAATTGTTTATTTTTGGCATCAAAATTACCACTCTCGTCCACCATCAAACACTTAGACGCGATCAACGGATTTACCACCTCAACCGTGTACTTTTTGAACTCGTCAGGCAGTTTAACCAGTAGCAATTCAGAATTTATATCCACCAATTTATGTAATTCCGTAACTTGTTGAACAGTCGCCGCAGCACTAGGATTCGAACTCATGCCAACATTTACTAACTCTTTCTTTTTAAGATCATAATTACCATCAGTATCCACCGAGAATCCAATTCCAGGTGGCCCTGGCATACCATCTATACCTCGCTCACCCTTAGCACCAGCTACACCCGGTGGACCAGCAGGCCCTCTTACACCCTGCACCCCCGCAAGTCCAGCTGGCCCGCGAGGACCAGGCGGTCCCGCAGGGCCACGTAATCTGCCTGATTCTTCTCCTTCTAGACTAGCTCGACCGGTCGTTTGCGAGGGTAGGTCCTTCATTTTATTTTCAACACTCGAATGAACTAGCGGTAGCAGAAAATCATCTTTATGTTGCTCAAGATAATTTCGTATCGCTAAGGGTAGGTCGCTGCTGCTCATATTTCCACTGTTTGAATTCGTTGTTATTATTTCATGCAGTTGTTTCACCGTTGCGGCATCGTAAGGCTCCGTCCCCAGCGCAACATTCTTTAACTTTTTAAATCTCATATTATAATTTCCATCCAAATCAAGTTCGAAACCGACTCCTGCCGGACCCGCTGGCCCTAAAACACCGCCTTGTGCGACATGAAAACCGCGATAATGACCAAACTTATTGACAGTCTTCATTTTATGAAATTAGCTTCACGGAGTTCTTCTTCAATCGATGCAATCTCAGCTATATGTCCCCCGTTTCCAGCTTTTTCCGACGCGATTAGCAAAGCGAGGCGATCCACCAGCTCGTTCGGATCGTCCCAATGAACGTAGTCTATTTTATTGTCTGTAACAGGCAACAGTCCTCTGCCGACTGGAGGGAAAAGCTTCTGAATTATGTTTAAATATTTAACTCCAGCACTACTTCGAATCCGACCCTCCGGATGAAACCCCTGCTTATGTGCACTGGAAATTTCCAAAATTTGCTTATACTTCCTTTTGTCTGAATTAGTGATCTCATTCTCATCAGGATTTCTCATGAAAAGAAGTTCAAAGAGACCGCGACTTCCATGATAAGTCTCCCCATCAACATGAACCCAATCTTCCTCATCAAATTCGATTTCTTTGTTACCTATATGGTATTTAGAGTTATTCACATCGACTCGAACGCCGAAAGTATGATCTAATTTAGATCGCGGCCAAAATAATAATTTCCGTAAATACTCCTCTCCTAACGGCCCGAAGGTGTTGAGATAATCTTCTAAAGCATCACGTGCATCCTTCGTAGAGCTTTTTTCCCCAACATCTTCAAATACATCCTCTCTGGAAGGACCGGGTACTTCGATGTTGCGCGCAGATGCAGGTGTTTTAGATTTGAGAATACTCTTACGCGCACCACTTTTAGCCTTTTCTTTTTTAATCCTCCGGACTTCATTTTCCGCTTGAACTTCTCCTTCTTCTACTTCTTCTTCTTCATCAATTTCGTCTTTCTCCTTCGTCAAATCTATGATAGCTTCTAACGGTTTCACGAGAGGTTCGAATCTCTTCTTAGCTGCAGATTCTTCTTCAATCAAACCTCTCTTCAGTTTTCGGTATTTGCTGCGAATGGAGTCCGCAGCCTTCACAATCTCCTCCTTCAATTTCTTCTCCATGATTGAGCCGCAAGAATGTATTCATGGGCTTATATATTTATCAAAACCATCTCTATATCTCCCATTGTCACGTTCGCTCTCTTTATTGATGAGAAGGAAACCGAACGGTTCCTTCCAGCAAGAGGCGCACATTTCTCGAAACTGAGAATACGGCATATCTGTAATTACGTGGTCGGCGTAAGCATGTCTTAAATTCATATCGTCCATCTTGAAGAGCACAATTACGTTTGAATTGTCGCGAATGAGCTGCTTCGGAATTCTGGAATAAGTTTGCGCGAGATAAAAACAATCTACCGACATATGCCTACCCATGGAAAAAAAATCCTGGATAGGATTCTGCCTTTCGCTCATTACATCATCAAAAATAACGACAGAATTCCTTTCAACTTCTTCCGGTTTGAGAAATTCGTTTTTAAAGCGAAAAAAACAAACCCCGTCAACCCTCTTGAGAATTTCATCCAGAAGATCGTACTTAGGCTGATGCAAAGAGTTTGAGAACAAGTACACGTTTTTAAATTTGAGTCCGTTCTTATCGATGAGTAGAGTCAACATTAAATTAGTTTTCCCAGAATTGGAAGGTCCCACGACAAGCCCACGTACCTGCGATGGTAACAAAACGCTATGCTTCTTCATTTTGTTATGACAACCTCCCTCGAATTCAAATTGCCTGACTTGTAGTTTTACTCTTTGTTTCTTAACTTTCATGTTTCCGAATCACCCCAGATAGTGGTTGATATTCGTAAACTGAATCATGTACAATGATACAATGTGCAGTGGTCTTTTCAGGGAAAGCTTTCCTCGCTTCAAAATCTAGCCGAACGTCAATACCACCGTGTTTCGGGCGGTCCTTCTGATGCGAACAATCGATTACAAAGAGAGGAGTAGCGTTTTTATACTCAGAGAAGGTCATAACTGGAGCTGGATCACGCATGTTCGTGTAAGATTTTAGTAAATTTAAGTACATGTGATAGAATTGCGCATAATCTTTCTTTTCGAAATTTTCATCCATATCTTCCTGAGGGAAGGATTCATTGTTCAACCATAATTTAACGTTACGAAGATCACAGTGATCAAATTCGCTGCTGCTTTT